GCCCTCGGCTCCACCCCCCGCGGCTGGCGCCTTACGGCGAGCGCGGCTGGAGAGGGGGCACCCCTGCGCGTCGCCACTGTGCCTTGACTTCCCCTATCCCCATCCCCATGCAGAACTGGCTACGTTAAGGCATGGCTGGGATGTAAAAAACGGGCTCTGCCCTATCTAGCGAGGTTGAGGCCTTAAGGCACAGGGCAGCCCTTGTAAGGCGCTGTGGCAGATGTCGGGTACAAATGAATACCCATGGGCACTGGTCCACCCCAGCGTTCCAGCACCAGGTGAATTAGGCGCCAGAGCCTGTCAGGAATCAGGCTTGTAGCAGATGACATCCTGCTTGTGGGGGATGAAGGACGTGAGGAACAGGCTCTCCCAAGACCCTGACGCTAAGCTGCAACAGCTCCTAGGCAGGTGCCCAGAGCAGATTGATGAGCTGAACTCAGACAAGATGAAGCTGGGAAACTGAGAGCCATTAAGGAAACACCCAGACCACAAGATGTGAAGGGAGTCCAGAGATTTATAGGCAGAGCTAACTACCTTTCCAGATTCTGCACATGCTCATCAGAGGCATGCAAAACTTTGAGACAGCTAACACACAAGGCAGCATGGGACTAGAGAGAAGCCCAGGAGTAGGCATTTGAAAGGATAAAGAAACTTATAAGCAAGGCACCAGTCTTGAGGTATTACAAACCAGCAGAGCAACTACAGCTACAGTGCGATGCCTCAGAAGGAGGCCTAGGAGCAGAATTAATGTGGAACCAGCAGCACCCAGGCAGGCCCCACCGATACAGAACGAGGGCACGCTCAAATAGGAGAGGAACCCAGGGCTGCGCTCTTTGAAATGGAGCGCAGGGCATGCTGTCTTCTACTTCAGCATATCAGTGCAGGGACAGCTGTGAGTTAGCTTTTTGAGACTCCTGTCAATGGCAGAGCTGTACTGCTTACTAAGTGAGCCAAATAGTTTGCGCTATTTGAGTGCCTCTTCAGGTGTCAAGTGGAATCTCCTTATTGTGGCTGAAAGGCTAAAATAAGTGGATTCTACTCTAAGAATGTCCCAAATCTAGAGGTTTTCAAGACCACTACTTCAGTCCAGATCCCTGCTTGAAAGAATCATACTTGAGTCTGCAGTCAATAAATGCTACTTGTAACACTTGTCCATTTCATTTCCTGACACCATCAATTTCCATTGTCCAACATGGAAAGAGAATAGTGCAGGAGAGGAGCTATGGGTGGAAACCAAGGGTGAAATAGAGATGGAGAAAAGTACCCTTACAGACTTAAGAAGGAAAAAAATCACTTGTCTCTATTAAATGAGAAGTGGATGGGGAAGCGCTGAAAGAGGCAAGAAGAAAAGAATGTGAACACAAGGAGGAACCAAGGATGCTGTATTTCTATCGCCAAGGATTGGGTGTTTTACTGGGAACTGAAAATAACTATACACATGCAGTAATAAAGACCAAAACAGTCCAGTTTGATCAGCTGTCAACATGATATGATAAATGTTTAATAAAATATCAGAGACTGTTAAGGCCTGGTTCTCCATTGCGCTCTTCTTAACACAGATGTAATACCAGTGGGGTAATGCAGTAGAGCTGGGGCTGGAGGGCGAGTGATCCACTCTGGCCTTAAACACTGAAGCTGTGTTCATGACTCATTAGATGGGAAGAACTGCTTCCCTATTGCTTCTCTCTGGTTTTAGATTTATTGTACAATAATTGCTTTGGTATTAACTGCTTGGAAGAGATTTTTCTCATAAATATCTTTCAGTTTAAATGCTTTTTTCACTTAACCTGCACTCAACTGTCTGACCCAAAAAATCAGGTCTCAGGGGATCATTCCAAAAAAAATTGAGGTAAGAATGATGCTTTTGCAGTAAGAAACGAAAGAAAAAAGCTGAATGCCTGCTCTAAGAATATGGATGTAAAATAAATTCTCTGTTTTCGAAGCATTAACAAACAAATGGAGATGAGCCCATATACATAAGCTAACTAAAGGTGATTAGGATCACTTGCACTGCACCCAGATTATGCAATTCTGTTGTCCTGCTATATAAGTTACTGTAACAACCACTTAAGTCATCTTTCTTATTTTTATTTAATACTCCCAGAATGGTATTGCCCAGTAAGTGTCCCTTGCAATAACGATAACGGCAAACAAGTATCCTGGTATAATCTGAGCTGTTTGTTTTATCTTTTTGCTTCTATGTACATAAGAGATCAATGGCTTGGTAACACCTACCTTGCAAAGAAGTTTTTGAAGAAGCTGATATATAGCATAAGTAATGGAAAAGAGGGAGGAAAGAGACAGTGCATCCTTATGAAGAAAACTGTTTTCCTACTTTCATCCTTGTATTCATCTTCCATTTTATAAAACACCTACTTCTCTTATTCTCATACAAAATATGTGGAACTAACTTGTCTACTGTGCATATAATCCTCTGTAAAGCTACAATTGCCAAAAAGATCTCAAAACACTTCACAGATATTTCAGCTAGTGGTAGTATCAGTGGGGACAAACTATGTTTAGACATCCAATTCCCACAGAAAAACAATAGCTTAGAAGAGCTTGTTTTGCCAATTACATTACTCTAACTGTCCTGATAGAGTTTAATTGATATAGATACAGCATCAAAACTCCCCCTTGGGCACTTACTCTGGAATAAGAGTAACTTTTTGATTCAGTTATACTTATTCTGGAATAAGACCAGCTTTCTTCTGGTTTGGTCTAAGCATCTTTCAAGTCAGAAAAGGCACTTTTATAACTGGAATACACGTGTCTAACAAAGTGGATAAATCAGTATAATCATAATGGTTAAACTTTGTCCTTTAGTTTATACCACTATAACTTTCTCATGCAAAAAGTCTAAAAAGGAACTAAAGAATGGCCTTGCCTCAGGATCTGATAACACCTTCATCTTCAACCAATTTTGGGAACCTGACTTACTCAGCAGTAGACCTTAAGCTTCTTAACATGTATATACAATAGACATTACCCACATTTTACTGCTAGCATAAATGAGGTACAGAGAGGCTGAAGGCCAGACTGAGAACTGACATCTGGGGTGCTCAGTGCCTTTGAAAACAAAGCCCCAAGCAACTGAGGTCCCCATGTCACTCTGCACAACCAGCTCTGAAGACTTCCCACCCGTGCTCTAACATTGGTTTGGCACCTTGCCAAATTACATCTGCCTCAAATATCACATGAGAGGGACTGAAACTGCTACTTCTCAACAACTTCTCTCAGGTTTTCCCAGCCCCAACATCTAATGAAGCCAGATCAAAACACAAATGTGCCTAAAAGTACTTACAGGCTCATACAGCTCCTCGTTGTTCCTAGAACAAAAAGGTATAGGCATTAATACATCCCATGGGTGCTCACAGAAGTGACCATTTTTGCCTGATCTGGGCCCTGAAAGCACTCTACAGCCATGACCAAACACAAGTGCATGGCCGTAGAACACTGTAAAAGGGCCTGATCCCACAACAATCTGAACCTTCATTGAATGAGGGTTCAGATGAACATGCTCCAAAACAGAGCACCTTCAGTAACTTGTGTCTGTGCATGCTGGGAGCAGAGCTGGGCTGACACAGCTCAGCCCTGCTCCTGGCACTGTCTTCAGAATGGGAGTGGGGAAAAGAATGGAGGGAGTTGGGTCTGGGTTTTTTTCACTCAGCACTGAAGGCTGCGGAAGGTAGATTGGAGGGCCCCCTCCCACCATCCTCCTGGAGGCATGTGTGCAGCCATCAGCAGCAAGAAGGTTCAGGTCCCTCATAGCTCCCCCACTGTCTGCCTCTAGCACGCCAAATTGAGGCGTAGGTCAGGGTGTTTTTGATACTCTGGCCAAAAATGTTGCCAACCTCTGGCATGATTTCCTGGCAGACCAGACAGTATTCATCACTTGTAAATACTTCCCTTGAGGAGTTGTGCCCAGTGATTAGCATAATGACAGCACAGCCACCTTAAAACAAGGATTGTTTTGTCTTCACACTGACTTTGGCTCCTGGTAGCACTTTAGGTAGTAATGTAAATGATCTTCAGCACGTGAACCTGGGAATAGCCTCATCACATGTTACCACTGGACATGGTTAGTGAGATTAAATGACCCTTATTTGCTGATGACTAAAGAAACATTGTCTGTCTAGAGCCTTTCTAATTCCTCTCTCTAGATTCTGACTAGCTTGAATCCTCCTACTGGTCTACGCATGTGAAAGACTGACAGGTAAGACCCAGAGAGCAGCAAAGACCTGGGACTACTCAGAGCATGAATGCTTGCTCTCATCTACCCAGGCAAGATACTGCACTGCCCTCACATATGCCACTACCCACAAAAATGACTGAATCTCTGGGTAACAAATCAGTGATTCCCTCACATGCTGTGAGCAACACTGTACACCACTTAAGAGTCTTCTCATTGATCCATTGTCAAATGTATTTGACAGAAAGAAGTTTCACTCTTCCTAAGAAATTTTGCCACAAGGACTAGGGACTTGCTAGTGCCATTCAGTCATCACTAGTGAAAAGCAAGAGATCCATACCCAAGCCAGGGATACCACTTTGACCTGTACAGAGACTACCCAAGAGAGGACAACAAACATCAGAACAGGACACACAGACAGGTGTAACAGCAAAACCCCAGTGAGGGAGTGTTACTTATGTGAGCTGAGCTGTATGGGCAGAGAGGCTAGGGACTGCAAACCTAGGGACTAGGTGAGTGGTTCTGTAGTCTGTATATTACTGGAAAGAAGCCACAAAAAAAAGAAGTCACAAGACAACCCTAAGGGGAAGCTGAGAACCAGTGCTTTTTGGTCACAGAATTTGCTGAATGTGGTAGACTGGGGGATTTCTGAGCAAGGAAACTGTCTGTGTTCAGGGAAGCAGGACTCTGTAGAAATTTTACAAATAAACCATATTGTCCCATAGAATATATCTGGCCAGTCCCATCCCTTACTGGCCAACCCTAGAGGCAACAGCATTAGCAAACTTAACTTATTTACAAGTGCCAAATGAAGTTAGATTCTTCTCTCAGTTATAATGATGTAAACCAGGGCAACACCGTTATCTCAGATTTACATGAGTGAAACTGTAAGCAGAAATAAGAGCTGGTTTCAAAGGGGGTTGGAGCCAGCTCACAGAAATCATTTCCTGTGGAGCAGGATGAAGGTGTGTATCTGACTCTCGTTTATCTTCCTAGGAACTCCATTAGCTTAGTAAGACTCAGTGCTATAAGCTTCATTGATATGTTTGCTCAGCACAGGTCTCCACCCAGCTCTAACAAAACTCCCAAGTCCAGGCCCTGGAGCAGGTTCAGGTTAAACCCTTGGCAAGTCTCTCAGGGGGGAGACTGGGAGTCTCAGATACTCCCAAACCCTAGACAAATCTAAAAGGTGGCAGCAGCCACTCCACCCTGCTCTCAAGGGTATTCCAGGTGCAACACATATTTCCATAAGGATACTTTAAAGGTTCCAGCACATGCGGGTTAACAGCAGGAAATAATTCAGATTCTGGGAGCTTCTCCTCCATGCCCCATTTCCCTTTCTGCTTAGCATCTGAAGTGGAGAGAAGATCATGTGGCGGATTTTGGCTGTAGGAACATTACAGAAGAGGATGGTGTCAGGGACAGGAGCATTTCTAAATAGCCTGGATTCCTGCATCCTCCCTTTTCTGCTTGAAGCCAAAAAGCTTCATTTCACAGCATCTGAGGGTGCATCACTGGGGGACTGTTTTGTGCAGCTCTGACTTAAGGTGTCTCTAGCTCTCAGGCAGCAATTTCAGACAATGATGATCATTTTAATAAACTGTGATTCACTACTTTTACATACCGGCTAATCTCTGCTGCTCCTCCCTCCTCCTCAGAGGTTTCTGCAGCCGCCACTGCTGTCTCTCCTTCTAAAAGAGGAATAGGAGACAGAATGCGTGAGGAGAATTGATAAAGCCTTTACACAAAGCCCCACTTGCCAGGAAACAGGCAGTGCAGAGACACACAAATCCAGGGAGGATCTGCAGGGGATAAACTGCTCCAAATGTCACCTTGTAGAAAGGAGGTGATCGGAGATGAGCAACACAGCTGAGGAGCTGCAGAAAATATTTCCAGTTGGTTGTGATTTTCAGTCAACTTCCAAATTCTGCCCATTCTGGATGTTGCGGATGCAGGGGAACCAATAAAGTCTTGGTTGGGTAACAGTACCACCTCCCAGGAAGCAGAATGCTACTATTACTCACTTCCAGTTAAAAATAGAAAATGGCAGCTGAGCAACATGCCTCCTCATGAGAAAGGAGCTCACTTGATGGAGTAGTATGATTTTGGGAGTGGCATACTCATGGATGACTATACACTGTAGGGCTGAGACCTAGGAGAAAGCAGAATACATCAGGATGTACCATCAGTTCTTGGAATATCAGATTTGACTTCAGTCTCTGAGGGTAAAATGAAGCAGAGAATATTTTTCATGCATTTTTGACTTGTAGATGGAGGAATAAGATTTTACCGGAGGGGGCAGGAGATACTAGAGCTGGCAAGGACCTCTGCCCATACTGCATTTATGTGGGTAATGGAACTTTCAGGCTTTTTTCCTGCAACCCTGCACTGTTGCCTGCTCTTTAATTGTGCTTTCTGCATGACCAGTCCATCAGTATCTGTCCCCACACAGTCACTTGATCCCTATGGGAACAGTTACAGGGTAAGTTTCCTCAGAGGGAGGAAGTGATGTCTGTCCCCTCTTATTATCAGGACACTTCTGATGTCCTTTCTTTTGCAAATGGGCATGGGGCACTCCAAGGAACTGAGAATGTGTGAGCCCAAGTCCACCAGCAGGTGCTGTTGCCACAGCTTGGTGTCCTGGACTTGGCACACTAAACAAGTCAGCTGCATAATACAGCAACATTGAGAATTCCCTAATATGAGGGACAGATATGAACAAAGTTTGGTCACCCCTGGCTGCAGAAGAGAGATGGAGGAGGCTTGCTCTGTGCAACTCTGACAGGCTTTCTTCGTTTTAGGGCAAAGCTACACTGCAAAAAGGTGTGATTATACCATGTGCCCATGAAACTGTGCTAAACTAATCTAGCTGGCACAAGTAATAGTAGTGGTGAAGATGTGACAGTCTGGGTTTAGCACACATTAGCAACCACAGTATGCGTGCAAAGTTCCTGGAGGATTTACATTTTGTTTGCTAGTGCACATTAAAGTTTATTCCAGTACATCTTCACTGGTGTGAAACACATGCTATAGTCTCACCTTCCTTTTGCTGCACAGAAATGCTTGTAGTAAAGAGCAGGGCGGGAAGTGATCACTTGCTGTGTGAGGCAAATGAAATATCCTGTTCTCATTTCAGCCTAAGCAAAGAGCTCCCTTACCTGAACAAGAAACTAATCTTACCTCCTGAACGAAGGAGGCAGCTCCCAGTTTATCTTTGTTCTCTTCTTGCTGAGATGTGGAACAGGGCAGGTCAAATGGTGGAGGCATGACTAGGCAGTATTCTCATGAAGGACAAGTATACTGGGCTTGTGGGGGATGCAGCTGAGAGTGTTCCTGTATTTGTAATTTCTCTGTATTGTTCTCTGTTTTTATGCCAAATTTCTGCAACCCAGAGCTTAGTAGAACAGCCTGGGTTTTGCCAGTGCAGTGCTAGAGAAGGCACCGCACTGACTGCCTGGAACTGAGTGCTAGTGATGGTTTTGGATGTCTTCAGCTACAGTAATCATTGAAAGAACGACAGATCTGCTTTGCCTACATGCCTTTCTGAGCGTGTTCTCTCTCCTCCTGCTCTCCTATTGCAGCTCCCATTGCTGCCTGTCAGTCTCTTGCTGCCTCCAAGTCTAAGAAACAAACATAATTTATCTGAATAAAGGAAAAGAGAACTGTAACATCAACCAGGGTCTCATGGATCATATGTCATCTCCCAGGAAATGGGATACTCAGTGGCACAAATCCAGCAGGGGCCCCTGGGCCAGGTACTTATGTTCCATGAGAACCTGGCCTTGATCAGATAGAGAGAGTCGTGTCCCAATGGTGAGCCTGTTTGTGTTTTATTAGGAAATCTTGCCTTGCAGCAGGAGATTTCTCAGAAAAGTACGTTCCTGATCCAGGAGGCTGGACAGTAACTTCCAGGGGAAAACTATCGTGTTTTGAGTCGGCACTTATTGTAGTGTAGCGTGGGTACACCCAAGGGTGTGCCCTGTTCTCAATTGGATGGGACAGGTAGGCAGGAAGGGGGTGCTGTGAGAGGGATGCCAGAATTTCAAGTGGGTCCTTCTTTCCTCTATAGAGTTATCCCAAGCCCAAAGTTCTTAACTATATACAATTTACTGAGTTACCAACATATATATAAAACTCTTTAAAATAGATACAATTGCAAATATAAATACAAATATACATATAAAGTTCTGTTAGCTGGAGGAAGTCAGCCCTAGGGAGGGCATTCAGGTAAGTACCTGTACCTCAGGCCCAGAAGAGGGGTGGATCCCAGGACAGTCAGTACAGCAAGTTTATACCACAAGTGGGTTAGCTAATAAAGACATCCTTACAGAGCCCATTATTCAGAATTAATACACCCAACTATTTATAACACCAACAATAACAATAGATACTGAATAGGAAACAACTATACCAGATATTAGATCTGCCCTATCTGGGTTCCAACCACTTGGTTCCTCAAACGGGATAGGGTCTTCTCCCCCTAGGTCCACTCCTCCCAGGGTCCCTTGCCCGGGGGCACCTCCCCTGTGGGACCCGGGTTCCCGGTAACTCACAGTACTTCCTCTGGGGGCTGTCAATCTGGCCTCTGGGTCCCCACACTGTCTCAGGCCTCCTGGACCCGCTGGCCTCGAGTTGAGGGTTCTTCCCTCTGGGCCCTGCGTTGGGCACCCAGGGAGCTCCTATGGGAGATGAGCCCTCACTGGCTCCAGATCTCCAGCCTCATGCCAGGGGTCTTTCCCCTTCCTGGGCTTTGCTCGCGGCACTGGGGCTCTTTTAGTTTAATGCTGAGCCACACTGCAGGGCTCTGGCTATCTGGCCTAAAGCCAGGGCTAACTTGAGCAGCCTGGAGCTGCTCCCAGGGGGACTCTTCATGTGCAAACCTGTGCACTGTGTGGGGCCCAAGCAGCCTTGAGCTGCTCCCAGGGCTGGCTCAATGTGCGCCACTCGCATACCTCCCTGCCCGGCCGCCTGCCCAAGTTACAGACCTGAGCCTCCCTGCTGCAGCTCCTAAGGCCTGGGCCCATGCGCCGCCCTGCACACCGTGGGACCCGCAGGCCCTCTGGGGTTGCAGGCTTGAGCCACCGCTCACAGCTCCCAGAGCCCTAACTCCATGCGCCAAAATGCACACCGTGACACCTGGCAGGGTTGCAGGCTCAAACCGCCACTTGAGACTCCCAAAGCCTGGACTCCGTGTGCTGAACCTATAAGCCAGTTAGTCTTACCTCAAATCTGGGCAAGCTTTTTGAGAAAATTATTCTGGCACATGTCCACGAGGGGCCAGCAGGGGAGATTATGCTTAGGGGCAACCAACACGGGTTCATTAGAGGCAGGTCCTGTCAGACCAACCTGGTGGCCTTCTACGACCAGGTCACCAAATCCTTAGATGCAGGGGTAGCAGTGGATGTAGTCTTTCTGGACTTTCAGAAGGCCTTTGACACCGTCTCTCACCCTGTTCTCATTAAAAAACTGGGGGACTGTGGTGTCCACACCCACA